AGAATGGCTGAATGGCGGCTGGCTAGCGACCATTTTTACAGATAGGGAAGTCTACCCTTAATATGTCCAGCTTAACACGGCATTCTTTTACCATAACATGGTTACAGAATTGCAGAAACACCCAAATAATACTATATTCTTAAAGGGTACAAACTATACCTGTTTGTTTTCCAGATCTATCTTGTTAATTACTTCTTGCATAAAATGATTCATCCGATGTATATAAAATGAATTAGAATTAAATTAAATTAAAGAATCCAAACACACGTTTTTGCGTAGATTATAAATTCGATGTTATAGAATTGACAGTAGATTGACTCGAGTCCTGATGGAGGATCAAGGGATTAGATTGAAGAAGTGGCAGCAAATTCGAGTGGCCGCGATCCGCACGGACGGATATGTACGTTATCCAGTTAATTCTTTCTGGATGGCTCGGCGAACAGAACCGGAAGCAATGTTTCTCTTTTCGTGTCAGATGGCCCGTGCTCGTTGGGCACGTCGATTCGACGGTGCTCGGTTTTGATCTACCATGTGGAAGGATCCGATCGCTATGAAACGAGCGTCCGTAGCTACACGAACCAAACCTGTAATCGGATGGCAGAAGATCGCCCCCGTGTGACAACCCAAAAGGTATTCAGCATGTAAACATAATGAACGACATTTCGAACACAGAACGCCCAAACTTCTTTTCCTTTTTTTCGGTAAAAAGAATAGGAAGACGAGAATGAAACGTTGTGGATAACCATACAATCTCGAGACTAGGTCCTAATGTGTTAACAGATGGGATGAAACATCTCAATTCTAATTTCCGTGAAATAAACCATGGAAATGGTAATTTGCGCGAGCATCCACGGCCCCTAGACGAAAAGGAAAATTATTCGTGTGCCGACCTAATGATCATAAAATTCCCAATATTTTTCGCTCGATCGACACAGCGCGTTCCTCCAGCGCGATCCGCTCGGCGTTGCTCCAAATGAATCCGTTCGGGCGCAACGTTTTCACGCGGCCTGAAGATAGGTCATGCTGCAAAAACGTATCAGGCGAGGCTGGCCACGTTAATTCGCAGACCTGTAGGAGGAGGCTTCCAATCGTCTACACTTCAAAGGGAGGGCAAAACAGAGAGTGTACATGCCGTACCGGTTCGAGGCCACCTTCGCACGCACGAATGGTCTTGTGCTAGCCGGAGTGCAAAGGGTTATTTTTAGTGCAATTTGTCGCTCGAACGATACCATAAAGTGAGCCGTGTCGCGTGTGTACCGGCCTATAGAAATTTTCACGTGTTTGTACCCACGACTAAACAGTCGCGTCGTTAAATGTGTCGAGCGGTCGCCAGAGAAAACGATCCGCTTTATAATCCATCGTTTGCCCTTTCATGGAATTCGTACATACAGGTCGTATCATCAAGCCGTGTATGATCGTCTAATGACTCGCCATTCTCTTTTCCCCTCAAAATCACCCAACTTTTGCCTAAAATACTTTCTTATGAAATATTTTCTTTTTATGATATTTCCATGTATCAACTTAAATGCCGCACACTGTGTATCGATGCACCTAAATAAATGAAGGACACAAGTAACGAGAGTACTTTCCGTCAGACCTAATACCAGATTTGCGATTCTTCATTGTCCCTATTGTCTCTTGCATTTTCATAAAAATCGTAAAAGCAACGTTGCGAATCCTACCAGTGGTATTATTCTCGTACTGTTATTTCCTCGTGGAGGTTCGAGCTCGAATAGAGTAAAGAATTCAATCCATAGTCCAGGCTTAAAGCTCTCTAATGGTACAGCGATAACGTATGTCGTAGGATAGGCTCTCCCGACTAGGAGACGTCTAACCACTCCTTTGCAACAGATATAATTGGACTCCCTTAATTATCTCGTCTCTGGATACAGCCGTGAGACGGGCTGGATAACGCATTCGATGCGCATTCAGACACCCGGACCGGAAGATTAACAGCACCAAAGGGAGCAAGAAGGATGTAGATCGCCTCGGCTGAGATATTAAGACGTTCAGCTGATCTGGCAGCCGCGATGCTGCTGAAACGAACCAAGGATACATGTACCGGGGTTCTTTTTTTTCATTGAAAAATTAATATCCAGATGAAATATATGATTCTCATCCCAGATTCGTTGTGCTATGGGGATTCGATAATGTATGCCTTTAAAATTAGCTGTTTGAGCACTAGGTTTGGGTTTTAGTTACGTGAGGACATTACTAACAGGAAATTACTAGATAACAGCGATTATATGTACCTATGTCTTGATAGTAATAGTAGTAATAGTGACATTGTGCCTAAGTATTTTAGTAGGTTCAGAATAAAATAGAAAATTCGTTGCATCTGATGAAATTTTTGCCTTTCACGGTACTTCACCGAGTCCTATAGGCTATAAATATATAAAGTCTAGTAATATCATACATAAATTTAGAAATAACATATAATATAATTCTTTAAAAAATATTTAATAACAGCTTCTCATTTAGAATTCAGCATTTTGATAATAAAAACAGCCTCTTATATTAAACGAAAAATTGCATTTCACCAGAATATCATGAAATATTACGTTATATTATATCTGTGTATGCACTTACATATCATGGTTCGAAATTCGTCCATATTTTTTATCGTAACAACTTTTTTCCCAGCCATCAGTACCCAGATATTAGTTGCTCAAGAGGATGTTAACGCAAAAAATATTTTACAGCGTTATGCTTCAATTAACCTTATCAAGCGCGAGCATTAGTAAAATGTTGAATTTTGTAATGGAATTAATTTACTTTGACGATCAGTCCACCCTGAAATTGAAGCCCGATCAAAGCATGGCCGCCACCTGTTCAACATTTCGCGTATGAAAAAATGTCACTCGTGAAAGTGACCCCCGCCCGCTTTTTGGTATAGAAATCCATCCGAGGATTTAATTTGGCCGAGAACCGAGTGCGTGAGTTACTCCGACCACAAGAACAAAGGAATACTTTTCCGTCGAAATCGTCCCTAATTAGTGGATACTAATTTAAACAAGGAAATCCATTGTCGAAAATGTCTAATAATGTCCAGCGCTTTTTTTTTCACTAAAAAAGAAAACAAGAAGGAAATAAAAATGGCTAAAGTACGTGCTTAGGTAAAAACCACTAATGAAATTGAAAATATATTGCACGTGTTCGGGGTATTAATTCAACGTGGGACAATGTAGTTTCTTATGTAAAGAAGAAAAAATTTTGAATAAACAATCTGTATGAATTTTATTTAACTATCTACTCTTTCGAATTTGCCACGAACCATCTTAAGAAACACTGTTGCTCCGTACCGTCCGTTGCTACATGTCCGTCCAGTAATATCAGGTTATTGTTAACGGCGTTTTACACCCGGGTTCTCCGACTCGAAATCAATAAACCGATTATTGGCCGGGCTTGAACGGAGATTACGTTGCTTTGAATTGACACCCTACCCGCCCTCGCCGCCGCCATGACACCACAGGGTTTCGCGACAGGGCGATCGAGCAGTCCCGTTGGACTTTACGCGACAACGACGACGACGGCCGGACGTCCGTCCCAGTTCCTTTTTTCCCAGCTGTCCGACAGGCGTGAAACCACATTCAATGTAATCCTTGGACGTACACTCCCGCGAAGAACCGGGTTTTTGCTTTTGTGACTCGACGAACTTTACCGCGGAACATTATGGCCGCCAGGCCGTTTTTATTCGCTTACACGCCGGCAGGACAATGGCGCTTGGAAGCGGAGGAAAAATAACGTCTCCGTTCACGGTGAGGCTCGTTTTCACGCCGTCTATTTACTTAATTATATCTATTTACTACTTATATTTGATTGATGAGGTAGTAATTTATAATTGAAATTATAAGATAGTATAAAATGTTATAATTGAAATTTTATACCTGCGGTTAATAGTTTACCATTTCTATTACAATTACTTATAACATGTTATTATTTCAATCATGAACTATTGTATTAACTAAAGGTAGAACTGAGGCCATAGAATTTCTCTTTTAACAACAATAGAATTTTTTATCAAATTTTGATATTTTCGACAGAAATGGAACCGGTTTAATTCCTTCAACGATACCTGGGCACGAATCTCCTCGATTTTCCCGAAATTACATAACGATGGTTCAATTGCCAATCGACGTTTATTAAAAATCTCTGGCTCAATGCATTACAACGTCGACAGAGTTCGCGTAAAATTTTATTCCCGTTCGTACAGGCAGCCGCGCGATATAATGGTCTCGTTCCACGAAACGTGTTGACTATTCGAATGAAACGTGAAATAATTTATAAATCGGAGAGCGTTAGAGGTACATCATAACATCGACAAAAATGTATTCTATTGTCGAATGTGAAATCACAAAAATTTAAGAATAAATGTGTCTTTCAATTATAATTCGGTACGTTAAATAATTACAATAAAAAATTTAGTGTGTATAAAATTTTTAGTATCGTAAAATCAATAATCGTTATCTCACGAAAGAATTCGGAGTTCCTCGTTAAACTTACTATTATTATAACTGAGCTGACGACGTTTATGTAAATTCATTTTTTCCCTCGTCAATTTTTAGAAACAGGAATTAAATCCTCTCCAATTAATCACTCTGCTAAACCTCATTAAAAAGTCAGCGTTACACCTGGGGACTTCTCCATGTCAATGCCGAAGAACTTCCGAATCCTCATCGAGGATTTACTGTATATTGCCATATGGGACCACTATGCATTCAGGCATTAACACAAATGAGGAACAGATTTTTAAAGTCTTTTCAATACATTGAAACTCAAGGACGAAATATTATCTCTGTTCGATTACCATTCTAATTAGTTTTCAAATTTCATTTCAATATTTTCCGACAATTAGAGACAACTCCGTAGCAACACCCCTAATATTCCAGCAGAAGCTTCGACTCGGTTTCGATTTATTTACCCAGAGGGCGTCGAACCGATGGATCCGTCGATCGTTGCTACAATGTTACAATTGTCGGCAGACTGTACGCCGTGAAACAATGGGTCTAACCGTGGGTCGTATGCCGAACACATGGGATTGTTTACTCGAGGAGAAAGATCGCGTGTTGTATTGGAGCGGTGAAGTCCTAGCGCGAGTGGCCGACAATGTTAACCAGGAGGAGTCGTTTCAAATTGATTATGGGAACGAGTACATCGATCGAAAAGTTGATTCGTGGATAGAAACCAGCTGGATGAGAATCAACAAAATTCTCAGCAGACGCTGGCACTTGTCGGACGAACGTAGAACTCGTCTAATTAGAGGAATCGAGCAAGTGATTACTATTGTTTCTAGTGCAATGTTCTGTAATAACGAGTTTATTTGTTTGCGATGCTTCTTTTCTTTTGTGTACACGGTGTTTAAAAAAGATTGTGTTGAAAGTCGAATGCACATAGTATTTGCGAAATAAAGGAACAATGGTGCTGGAATTATCTGTTGTTATTGAACGTTGTCGTTCATAAATGGAGCAGATTTCAATTGTAATGAAACTCTAATCCTACAGAATATTGAAGATATAACCATAGATTCTAGGAATTATAGGAAATATAAACACGAAACACAGTGAAGTAAAAGCATTTGAAGGATTATCGAAGTTTTCCTTTTATTTGTTAACAAAGTCCTTGGTGGTTGAAATGAATTTGGTCTGATTTATGTGAAACAGATTGTGAAAATGATCTATAACGTAATATAGTCATAACTAACCCTCGCAAGTTTATGCAAATTTAGTTTTACTCACTAATATAGAAAAAACAAAGCTGCACTGAATTGTGTTTCCTATACTAGGGATTTTAAAATGTTAATAATAATACAGAGATACTATTAAATTTTACTAGACACTTCATTCTGCTACATTTTTCAAATCAGAAGGTGCTATAAGTGCATAAAAATCTGCAGTCTAATTATAGTATACGTGGAAAACCAATAATTTCATAGGTTTCACACATTGTTCTTTAATCTAGATTAAAGATGCACTCAGGATGAAGATGCGAGAAGATTACAGACGTGGGTATAGAGACATACGAAAGCACACGGAAAAAGTGGACAATTTGGGGAGCCAACAACGTAGGATACACGCTAAAATTCATGAACTCGAGACCACCTGTGCCGGGAACGTGAGGAAATTCCAGAAGAAGTTTGGTCCTCTGCGACTGAAAACGTTCAGAAACCTCAGGATAGGGGAAAAGATGATGTTCGAAGAAATGAGACTAAAAACAAAATTCTTCAGACGGGTATAACTTTCGTTATTTTCTTATTTCTATTGGATCAAGTTATATATTTCTAGTATATTTATTTACAATTTAATTATTAATAAAATTATTTCATTTAAATGAAATATCGATTTATAAGTTTTACTCTGATTGAGAATGTGTAATAGTTAATGTCAATTATAAAATATTTTGGACCCACATTTTAAAAGAAATATTGATGTTATTCATGAGTCAATCTAAATACCACTTTAATTAAAACAATAACAATTCCTTGTATTTTTTGTACAATAGATGTATGCCATTGATCACGAGAATATGAAACTATGTACCAAGAGTATCGACAAGCTTATGGAAAACATTGGACTGAGCTAGACTCAAGGAACGATAATGAAGAAAGTACAAGTCAAAACGTATAACGAAGCAAAGGAACGAAAAAATATTTGAATATTTTTTATTGATGGGTAACATACTACCCAAATTTTTTTAAAGATATTTTTATAGTGGTATAGAGAGTACAACAACTGTTATTCAAAACAGAATGTAATAAACTGTACTTCAAAATAATATAAAAAATTTAGTTGTATCTAAAATAGTTTTTATTTCATTTCATTGTAAAATCATATCGTTCTTATTGGAAAACCCTTTGCAAGCTATTCCTTTGGAAAATATTGATTCTACATTTCCCCTAGACACTTCCAATTCGGTACTTCCTAACCTACGTGTCTGCTCGTAACACACTATATCTACTTACCTACCAAGAAAACACGCTACCAAAGTTGCACTACGATCGTCTAGGCTCACGTAGAATTCCCAAGATCAATTTCCCCTATAATCGAAGTCTGTACGAAAAAATTTTATTCCAGGTCGCAGACTAATAATTTTGGAATACTGAAATGGTACGGGGGCATCTGACGCCCCCGAAGCATGGGGCAGAAAATTACATTACATTGCATGTTGCGCCACACTTAATAAAACTTACAACGTTTTTATTTTATTTCGAACTCTAATAGGGTCTTAGAATAAACAAATATCTTTTTGATTCAAGTTCTGTACATCAATCAATAAAAATTTATATTTGCATAAATGTCCCTAGTGTACGTACTCGTTATCCAACTAGAACTATGTGGACTATATCGTAAACGACGTTAGGGTAGGCTCGCTCGGCGATTCTCATTGCCAGGAAAACAGAATGCACGAGAAAGTCGCTGAATGCTTGGTCTCAGGGCCGTGAACAAGCATCTCTGTTCAGGTAGTACGTTTTTCGAAACTTTACATCCTATTTTACACTGACAGAAGCAGGGTATGCCCATTTATTAAACTATTTTGTCTTTTTTTACATACCATTTAGTAATTCTTTACTATAATAATCAGAACGAATGATTAATAGTCAGCTACTATACCTGACATTGAAAATTCTATTAACTACTCCCTATTGAAACACCGTTATTAAATCTAAACGAATTTTTTAAATAAACCGTTGGTTGTAACGGAAGAAGAATATTTATATTTAGTTAAATGAAAAAGTAGTAATATATATTCAAAATTGTCATTTTTTCTACAAACGATAATAATTATTACTGAATTTATATACCGTTTCTTAGCTTTTAAAGTAACAGTTATGCAGTATATGATACTGATAAGATACTAATGATATGTACTAAATGAAACACTGCAAATATGAAGTAGGGAGAGGAAAGTCTTATTAAAACAAATATTCCCACACGTTTCATAAATTAACTTGTATGCATTACTCTACAAGTTACACTTAAACACAAATATATATCACAAGTTGAAACATAATTATTAAAATGCACTCATCGATGCATTTAAAATTAATATGCGTTCAAATCCGTCGCACTATTCACGATCGAGAAATATTACCTTAATTACTAAAGTTTCAAACGAATTTAACGATTTATAGCAATTTTGATATTCCGAATAAAAATTTGAAATTTATAACCGTATATTGAGAATAAAACTGAATATTCGAAACGGTTGGTGATGACTGAAATAGATACATACCTGCGTACGTTTCGCGGGCTTTCTTCGTACGGATACAAACAATGGCACGTCCAGAAGTTTATCTCCTCGCCACGGTCACGGTGCATGGACCCGTCACAAGTCCAACGACGTCGAAAATCTTCGTACTTCGTATGTTCTTACACGAGTTATTTTTTGCCCGAATTGAAACACTGTTGCTAAACCACGACGTTTCGGTAGCACAACGACGGTCACTGGAAGCCGGACAGTACCAGGAGAACAGACATATCGAGGAGCAGTTTCTTCTTGGCCGTTAGAACGGTAACTGACACCATCTGGTGATACCAATGAAACATAAAATTCATTTCTCACTCTTTATAGTGATCATTATCGACATCTGCCGGCACAAAATTGAACTAAACTTCATTGGTCCTTGATTTGTTGTAGACAGCTCTGTAGAGGACCAAATTTCCAGGAAATGATCAATTAACGAGCGTCAATCACCCGTGCGCTTTCCCCACCAATCGTCCGTTCACTTATGCAACGCAACTATATGTATATAGGGTGGGCTAGTATTCGCACTTTTTGATCACCTTACTATCTCCGTTATTTTTTGAGATATCAAAAAAGTTTATTCTTGATGTCTGCCTTTCACCGCTAGATGACGTCACCATTCAGTTTTTCTGATGGTGAATGATCTGTATTGAAAATTTACAATTCCATGCAAACCGTGATCTCGTCTCATCCGCAACACTAATTCAAACCACGATTTACCTAATATTGCTGGTGGTTGGGCCAATCTGTCGACCACTATACAAACTACTACGACTACAACTACAGGCGAGTACAGTGACAAAGTAGTAACAGAATGACTCCCCATCCGAAGATGCAGAGCCATTAGTAGTTGCCCTTTTCAATGACAATTTGTGTCGGGCCTCTTCGGCATATAGCCTCTTCTTTTCTTCGGCAGTCCACCAACCTGAAACCCTCAAGCTGCTCGATTGTAGACGACCAACAACTCCAAGAGTCTGTATGATCGTACCACGAGTGCAATCGAGCAGATCGTTCGTTTCGACAATCCTATCGTTCCGACCGCGACCGCGATGACGACCCCCTTGGGGTTCGCCGAATTTGAAGAATCGAAATCGAAATCGGAAACAGACAGCATGCTCCGTCTGGACCAGTTTCGAATCGACGCTACAAATTATCCCGGTAGCAGGACTATCACGCGAAACCTACGCGCGCCTACCCCATCAGAGAATGTGATAGCCTGCCCCGGCCCCTACCTACTTACAGTCTAATCGGACATTGACACACCAAAAAATATGCTACCTGCTTACCTAGCCCTATATTTAACAAGAATTTGGCAAAAGACAGATTCTCACCAACACACAACACTCCACGGTTCTCAAGCATACGCCCGGGTGC